TTTTTAAATTTTGATAACAAGTTAGTGCCATATAAATATTCATTGTTTGATGATCGTATTATTGTAAATGAAGCTATGAATTTAGGAATACTGATATTGTAGACTGCAGNATATAAATATTCATTGTTTGATGATCGTATTATTGTAAATGAAGCTATGAATTTAGGAATACTGATATTGTAGACTGCAGCCTTTAATATTTGTTTCAATGCACATTTTTTCATACATTTTTTTAATTTTAATGTTAAAATTCATTTGCCAGCGGACGCTATTGCATCCCTTCCCATTTTTATTAAACGAGTGTGAAGTTAGCAATAATTGACCCAGCTATTGGTAAGAATGTGTACAATGGGCTTACAGAATAATACATTCTGTGGTTTCAGGATTGTGATAATATTGATATGATTTTTTTAAATGATAACATATGCCACGCCCCCTAGATACCGTGTTCATTGCCACCGTAGATCATACTATTATAATGTGATCTAAGAATGCCACAATCACTCGATTTTGCCTATACATGCAGTCGTGGCGTACCCGAATACCATACAATTACTCTATGGTGCGCACCGGAACTTCAGAATGCAGTTATCACTTATCACAACGCTGTCGCTGATACGAAAAAATAATAAGAAGAACAAGCTATTAAAATGAAATAATTCGTCAAATAAAATAACATAATTAATAATATTAATATTGTTAGGCTGTATAGTAGTTCTGTGTGTCTGTGTAACGAATAACGATGGGTGCTACGGTGGGGAACGAACCGAAATCGGAAATCTCCAATTATGTCAAGTTGAACATCGGTGGATCGTTGTTCTACACGACTGTAACAACGCTCTCAAAACTCGACTCGAAGCTACGTGATATGGTGTTGTCAGAAGCGGCACAAAATGCTGAAACGTTGGAATCTGAAGGTATTACAGTTGTCGTTAAATGTCTCACTATTAATTATTATTATTATTAATTATCTTATTAATTAGTATAATATTATGTACCTTATTCAATGGTTATCGGCGTAGCCAATTTATTTTGTTTTTTTTCACCGACAGGATGGGTGTTTATTGATCGTTGTGGCAAACACTTTGGCACCATACTCAACTTCCTGCGAGACGGATCTGTACCGTTACCCGAAACATGCGTGGAGATATCCGAGATACTGGCTGAAACCAAGTATTACGGCGTTTCTGAGCTGCATGAAGCATGTGAACAGGCGTTGCAAAAGAAAAGAAACCGGAACTCAAACATAACGTGGGTGACATTGATAACGTCCCAGAACGAAGCCCAAAAATTGATATCCGTATCGTCAAAAGTATTTGTTTCATTTCAATTGTTCAAAATAATATGTAGATACTTATCACTTGCATTTAACATACATCACTTTGAATCTTTTTTCAACTAGCCGGTGGTGAAATTTGCAATTAATCGTCACAACAACAAATATTCATATACAGGGTATGTTTGTGCGTTACTATGTTTTATTAACCAATCACTGGATTGATTTTGGTGAGTTTGTTACACAACAGGGCATCAGACGATAATTTGTTGAAAAACATTGAGCTGTTTGATAAACTGGCAGAAAAACATAGAGAGCGCGGTCTATTTATTAAAGACGTTATTGGATCAAACGAAATCTGCTGTTGGACATTTTATGGCCCTGGGGGAGCTGTCAAAAAAGTTGCTGAAGTGTGTTGCACTTCAATAGTGTATGCTACAGACAAAAAACACACAAAAGTTAGTCTTATATTAATATTAATGTTTTCTCACATTTTCAGCGCTCACAAGATGTAAAATAACAACCTGTTTATTTATTATAGGTGGATTTTCCAGAGACACGTATACTTGAAGAGACCATGAATGTCATGTTGCTAGACACACGGATCAACAAGTCTGTACAGGAACACGAACTAATAGAGGCCACATCAAGTTCAAATGGCAATTGCCGTTGCTCGTGTTCAAGTCAATGGTCAGATATACAGTGGGATAATAGTACGGCCAGCACATTATAAAACAACTGACAACTGATTGTAGTTGTAAACTGTTTATTCGTTTTTAAATAATTGTCATGAGACAAATTTTTTTTATTATAAAAGTCTTCAACTTATAATAGTGTCCTATAAATTGTTAACTGCTGTAACAAAACTAATGCAATATCTTAAATTAATTTTGTACAAGTTGTATTTGTTAAAGGTTGCATCCCTAATGATTAAGATAACAAAAAAACTCAAATATATTATTATTTTTTTTAATAGTTTAATTTGTTAGTTATTTCATAAAATTAATCTGACATTATTTATATAATTTATAAACTATTAACTAATTAAGTAGGTATTATAGATCAGAAAATGTCAGAATAGATAATGATTTTAACATAATACCTTTTAATACAAAATCATGGGATTTTAATTTACAAATTCAGATTTAACCACCATTAAAATTTGATTCATACATTTAATTAATGTTAAAAGTCCACCAAAGATGGTTTAAATATAAGTCTCTTGAACAGCATATCTTCAGAAACTCATAAAATCAAGTTTACATACCTTTGTTAATGGTGCTTATATATTCAATAAGTATAGTTTATTAATCATATTTTATTTATCCTTTGGCTGTAAATGCCTAAGATGATATCATTTTGTTTTTTTGAAAGTGATGAATACCATTGAAAATCTAACTAAAAGATTATTAGACAATTTATCAAAATATAATCACGGTTAGACACATCAAATCTACAATTGTGCTAGGGATTTTCTTTGATATATAAACTTATTTAGTTGTAACTTGTAATTGAATAAGAATTCAACATTATTACCCATTTCTACATTGTACATTATTCACCAACAAGAGGTTTGCCTCAGTGATAGACAGGGCCAAAACTATCAAGTTCAAAAATAAATTTAGCTTGAATTATTTTATAGCTTAATTTAACTGTAAATCTGCCTTGACTGAAATAATTAAATTATTATTATTTTACATACTAAATAACAATTTAATCCAACAACTCTTTTAAAATTGTTAATAATAATAAAACATATAAAATAAATCAGTCTTTTTTTATTTCTTTAATATTATTGACAATTTTAAACAGTAATAATAATAACTATTGTCATCACCAAGCCAAGAAAATAATTTTAAAATAAATTTTGTTAATCAAGCAAATAATCAACTTGATTATTTTATTATTTATTCAAATAGTAATGTTTTTCTTCTAGCAATATTTAGTAAAAGACAAAAGATAGTTTATTGACGTTTGATTCTGGGACAATTATGTGTTCTAAAAAACTTCATAAAAACAACAGGATACTATATTCAAAAAATCAAAACTAGGACTATTTGCAAAACCTACCTCAGTAGTTTTAGTTGTGACTCTGAACTCAATCATGTTATCTTCTTTTCTGCTAAAATTATTAACTGTATTTAATGACAAATAATTATACTGCAGTACTGCACGAAATTTTATAGTAATTTTGAAATTTTATTATTTCAATTTATTATTAAATAATTTAATTATACTTTTGTAAAAAAAATACATAAATCATGAAATATGACTGATGTAGTTATGTGTGTAAAAACAAAATAATAACTGATAAAAGTGATATCCGAAACGTACTCCTACGGCCCCAGTTGACAACCCATTAGATGTTTAATTAGATTAATAATTAGTATATATTATCTACTAAAGTATTAACTATTTTTTTAAATATTTATTTCTTGTAAAAATAATACCTAACTGTTATTGTAAGTTTTATTATTTCAATCGTGATATATCATTCGTCACCCGTATGTATCTTTTTTTTTTTGCCATCAGGTATTCAAATCAACAACTGTAATGTTGGATATGTTACGGGCAATGTAAACCACACATTTTTTTTTTAACCGACTAATATTATTTTTTATTATAATTATAAATTATAATCATTAACTATTTATAGTATTGATTTTTTTTTTAAAACAATCATCATTAATTTTATTCATGTACCATAATATTACGAATATTTTGATGGAATAACAAAAAAAAATTAACAAGTATCATCTTTTTATTTTATGATAAATTATAATTTTATTATTACCTATTTATTTGAACAAGATTTAGAAGCATAGCACTTGGAATTACATAGCCTATCTGCTTTCCTACGTTTGGTTTTCAAATAGGCAGTACGATACTACGATAAGTAACAAAAATAGGTTTATACACAGTGTTTCAAAAAATTCATAGTTTATTGTATTACGATACATACATAAAATTAATAATGATTGTTTTAAATCAATACTATAAATGGGTAATAATAATAAAAAATAATATTAGTTGGCTAAAAAAAAAGTTAGTGGTTTACCTACATTGCCCGTAACAGAAATATATGGTTTGATCCACGATGTTATAATTGTAATGAGGTTTGTCATCGTATTTAGTGAACTTTTAAATATCCTGCAAGACGTACCACTCGTACCAGTACATTATATTATATTGAATACACTGCTCAAAATGGTGTTAATCCATAGAAAAAAAAAAATATCTGTAATATCTGTACCTAAAGTCTTAACTATATAATAATTTGGCCGTTTCGGCGGTGCATCCGTCGCTCACCATTGTGCGACGTCGATCTAATAATAACTAATAGGTAATATTATTATCGTCTGCTCTCAGCTGCGACCGTGCAGGTCACCGTCATTGTTTTTCATGAAAAGTGTTCATTATTTTCTGTCCGTTGTCCTCGCAGTATACTATTATGTACCTAAGTACTTGTACAATAACGTTAAATATTATGTAGGTATAGTCTAATAATACGTGCAGTGGCGGAAACCGGGCAATCACCGCGTGCATACGACAAACGTAGGTAGGTATTTATTCGGTGAAACTTCCATACAACGGACTTATATTTAACAACGTTTTCTGTTTTTACGAAATATTTTTGAGAACCAAACTAAATTAGAATTCAAATTTATCTATAAAACTATTATTTTTGTTTCCCACGAGACTTCGTAGTTCGTACTGTGGAAGCTTTCCACTGTTGTAGGTATCATATTATAAAAAATATAAAATATAATCAAAGCATTAAATATTATCACCAGGTGCATCCAAGAGCAAACAACCGCAATATTTTGCCACCTTCGAGGCCTTTATTTTTGAGATCTGATCCTGATATTACAATGAATCAATGGCTCGCAATTGACTTCGAATGAGTAGATTATAACAGTACCTATAAGTGGAAATGCAAGGACGTGGGAATAGTTCTTGAAAGATATTTTAATTAATTCACGTAAGATTCAATCCTCAAAATTAGCGAGGAAAAAAACTACCAAAATAATGTTGGTCATTTTATGATTTATTATATAATATTAATGTAGTATATTTCTTTAAGAAAAAAGTATTTTTAAATTGCTAAATGGTGTTAGAAAAAATAAAATATTAAAATACGAAATATATAGCATATGTTAAATATTGATATTTTAAAACGTGGCGCGACTATACTCGATGAGTGATGATTGTAAAAATTCTAATCACGACTATTAGCTATGAGCAGGCCCACGCATAAGCTTTTGGGTCTGTGTATTAAACTATTAAATGTTTTTTGGTGGGCCCCATAAAATAAGTATTCCTATCAAAATTGGAATAATTACAAATTCATTTCAAAGGGCCCCTAAAATAGCTGTGCTAGTGTACTCCAGGTCCACAGACCCCCTTGTGGGGGGATGGGGCCCGGTTATGAGTGTATACTCTACAGCGATGTGTGTAGGATCTTTTTTTTTAACCAAGAGTGAAAACCAAAGCATAAATGCCTGGTTGAAAATAATAGTATAATCCGTCGACTTCTCAATCACAATTTTTTTATTTTATTCGTATATATTTGACTAAAATATCTAAAACGGTTCGAGTGTATACCTACGTTTATATAAATATGAAAATACCGTATACCTAGGTGGCTTATACATAGGTACCTAATACCTATATATTATTATGTAAGATAAATTATATATAATATATAATATAATGTCCTACCTACGTGAGTAATAATATTAAAAGATACATAATTGTCGCAATGATAATATAGGTAATAATAATTCCTATACATAATATAAATTTTAATATATAATATATAGACATATAAACGTAATAATATTATAATAATAATATAATATATAGAAAGGAAAAACAATTTTGGTAATTGGGCTCGTATAATAATGGGAGACGGGGATTTTCGCGTATTAGACGTATTTTTAAAATTATTTTTTTCGGTATATATAAAACAAAAATAAGTACACAGGGGTTGACGAATAGGTGTATAATAATATTATTTTTTTTTAAGTACAATAGTTTATTTTCATATTTATGTATGTATATGCGAACTTAAATGCACACAAATCTTAAAATACTTGTAATATTAAGTATCTATACGTATTATATTATGTGTAGACATGTAGGTATAATACGTACCACAAATAATATTGTTAAACAGTTTGCTTCCCGAAAATCGTGTTATACCTAGGTACGACGATTTTATATATTTTATACGCGTGATTTTACAAACTTTTGGTAAATAAATTAATATGTATAAAAAAACCTATGTCGACTAATACAATAAGCGAGACACGATTTTAATGCATACCAGTATATATATATATATATAATATATATGTACAATTCAATATTTTATAATAATAATAATAATATAATTTATCATTTATGTTCAGGGCTAAAAGTAATAGGTTATTATAATAATAAAGTAATGTTAATTAAAAAAATAATAATAACTAATATAAATAATAATAATAATAATAATAATTTAATAGACGTTTCTGCACGTGCTACATCAATTTCTATATATATTCTATAATGGTGTCGTAACGATTCGGAAAAAAAATGTTACATAATATCAAAGGCGTCTTCGTTATAAATATTGCAACGTGATATACCGTTTAAAATAATAATATCGTGTTACATAATATATCTACCATGTACCTATACCTATGTATTCATGTTGGTGTAATGTATGTGGGTACAGTTCGACAAGTGTGTTTCTACTACTCACGCAATACATTAGGCAAAACTAGGACAGAATTTTTTTTGGGGAGGAGGGCGGTAGGAAGGTCTTAATATGATAATGATGGTTTTTCAAAAAAAAAAACCATGATTTTTTTTTTAAACCTTGCCAAGTATGACACAATCATAAATCATATTTTTATGAAGGGAGTCTTAAATCGAAACTGGGGAGGACTTAGCCCCTATATCAAGTCCCCCACTCCTATGTTATAGTATATGAAACTTATTTTTAGATTTGAATTGTGTGATATCAATGATATCATTACAGTAAATTTGTTATTTATTTTTTTCGGCAGCTTTGCGCGCTAGAGAGGAGGATGATTAAACACAATAATGTAATATAGGTACGTGCCAACCTAATCATACCTATACATATATATATAGTCGTGATGTATACCTATATAAGGTTACTGCTGGTCAAGAAGGTAGTAACCGCTGTAGATATAGGTATATAATATTGTGCTCCGTCGCGGTTTTCTTATAGTCATCTCGAGATGAAGAAATGCTCGATCACGCAGATTTGCATAAAAAAAAAAATTACAAAAAGTACTTTCATAAATATTGTTAAGAGAAAAAGAGAGGACCTTCGCGTAATGGGAGTTTTTTGGAGGCGTAGAGATGGAAGTGCAGGTGGATATCGTCGGCGTGTGGGCGTTTAAAACGAGTTGGCGGCCAACATGGACGATATCGCGGCCACGGCGGTCAGCAACAAGACGTGCGATGTGGACTGACTTCGGTGACCCGCCGACTTGTCCCATGGCGTGATCGGATCACTGTATGTATAACAGAAAAAAACAATTGTAAGCAATTTTTAAAATCATTGTGTGCGTGTACAAAATTAAAATAAATAATTTTTTTAACCACGTGCGCATAATATGTGCAGGTATTATTTTATACATTATTTATATCAAAATATATACTTCAAACTAAACTTTGAACAATATTTGCGTCTAAACTATAATATTATATGGTTCTCACTTCTCATATCTACTAGGTTGGTACCTATATAATGCACTGCGAAATGTGAATACATTTTTAAAATTGTACAGACGAATGTACACTGAGTGACATTAAGATGAAATTATGCAGAATGCAGTATTTACGGTTAAAAACCTATTTTTTCGTAACGCTTTCCTAGGATTAAACATAATGTAATTTTCTTACTCTCTACGTTCAATAATAACAATAATATCGTGGCAACTTCTGACGATAATAATAAATCATGTAATGAGAGTGGCATCAGTATGAGTCCAAATAGGGGGTGTCAAGTCCCCGATCTTAATCAATTTATACTTATAATTTTCGACTGCGATTTAGAAAATAATACCAACAATAATAATGATTTTCGGAGTTATACATAGCTATAGCAAACCAAGTATTTTTTTTTTGCAAAATATTATGACGCGAGACTGCAGACTCTCCGAAAAAATTTCAGCTCTAAGGCCATCGAGTGCTGCTGCAGTATATATAATATTTTATACGCAGAGCGACGACAATGTCTACGATTTAAAAAGCTTCCAATTATAGGATATTACATTATATTCTGCGAACGCGCCCGTTCAAATGCCCCCGATATTTCACCGACTCGACGACGATTTTGTGAAAAGTGCGTTATTATTTCGGACGGCACTCCGCAACACTCGGACGAAATTAAATTGGCCCGGATTCTTGTGCGCTGCAAATACCGTCGTAACAATAATAAGCAGTAACGTACATGTAAGCGTCATGAGGACCGGGGGAGGGGGGATACGATATGGTTCCATCTGCGACAACTATATTAAATATATATCCACACACACACACACACACACACACTTATATATAATAAGTATATACACCCGCACACACACACACACACACACACACACATATATATATATATACGTTATAATATATAATATAACAATAATATAGAGACTATAGAGAGAATATTCCGCCCGCTCGACGATCGACGACAATAAACGCTTTGTCGTAGTTCCGTCGGCTTTTGCAGGGTATAATAATATTATTATTATTATTATTATTATTATTATTATTATTATTATTATACACTTGTATAATATTATATATATATATATGTTATACGAAACGAAAGTTTTGCAGGACAAACGAAAGTAAAATAAATACATATTATATATATATTATATTATGATTTCGCTGGTCGCCGCTGTGGGATTATCTCGTACTTATATTATATACATAATATATACGCGTGTAGTGGTCGTGTGGCTTATATTATACACATGCGGTGGGTGTATATAATATAATAATGTGCAGGACATTCGATTGTGCGTCCTGCTGTAGCAGTTATGTTTTACCTGTTCATCTAACAATAATAGCGCACAATATTATTCTGATAAATCGGACACTCGCGTAGGCAGTGACCGCGAGCAGTGTATTTTCGATTAAAATATTATTGCGATTTACTATATTATATTATAGGTACGTATATAGGTTAGGTAATTTCCACAAACATCCCCATCCGAAGAATTATTATTGTGATATGTGCATATTACGACGAATATGTATAATATTATAATTTACTTAATATAACAACAATATGTAATCGAATTCCGGAGAAATGTGATTTTAATATAATTTCAATTCGGTTTCAGGGTTCTGGTGAAATCAATTTTTTTATTAAAATTTATCTCGTTTGAAAATTATTACTGACAAACAGACACGATATTTTATTATGTATATAATACATATTTATATACAGGGTGATTTACCAAGTATAATCACCCCCATTTTTTACTCTAATAAAATACGTTTATTGAAAATTTGATTTTTAGAATTTTTAAATATACTCAGAGACCATTTTTCAAATTCTTGAATTTTTTGTACTATGCTACTTACTTAATGAGTGTCCTGTAGCGATTTAAACTTCAATTTAGTTTCTTAGTTGTTAAAATATTTGTACTGTAGATAATAGTCATTGAAAATGGTTTTACAAAAATATAAAAATAGACGTAAAATTGAATCACTTAGGCCATTTATACAAATTATTGATATTGATACATTGAGATAAGTTACTAAAATTTTCATATAACTATATCCCCCATATCTTATGAACCCATTACCATGGACCTTTTATCCTTGGAACACAAAGTTAAATCACTCAAAAACTAATCTCATGAACTTTGATTCTAATACGTCAAAATTTTCAGAAGAATTATCCACTGTATAATATTTACCGTTTAAAAGGATTGTTCTCATTTGAACAACAGAAGTTTTTACTTCCACAGGAAACCCCTTAAGTATTTAGTACAACAAATCCTAAGAATTTGAAATATTGTCTTTAAGTATATTTTAAAACATTCCAATAATTAGATTTTGAATAACTTTATTATTGATAAGACAAAAGAGCGAGTATGCTTGGTGAATCATCCTGTATAGTAAAAGACTATGACCTACTCAAGTATATAGTTATAGTTATTACTTTATTAGGTTATTATTATTATTACATTACAATAATAACACAGCTGTTGAAGGATTATCATCTACACTGAAACACCATCGCATACACGACATCGGTTTCGGTATATCATACATATTATAGGCGGTATTATAAAATCGGTACATAATACCTTTACCAGTTACCTGGTACCTATGTATTGGTATTCCGAAACAAAATATTATGCAGTTTGATTGTCCATATACTATAGATATTTGTTTCAATAAAGACTACATAAAACAGATTTAAAAAAAAAAAACAATTATTTGTTATAATAGTTAATAATTCTGTATAAATATTACACGATGATAAATAATAGTAATAGTAGCATATACTAACATCCCCTTCGAGACATTTAACCTATAACTCGTGTCTCGTGCTTCACCTCTTCATAATATTATATTACTTATTCACTTTATATTAATGGTATATTATTAGAGTTTATGACAATGCTCGGGATATTTATACAAGTAATACATAAATATTTGGTAAAATATCATTATAAGAGGCTTATACAGTTATACGAATATAAAATAAGTGAAAATTCGAAAAGTATATGCCTGTGAGCTGCAGTAATAATTCTTTTAAATCGAGCCTGAGGTGGCTGCAGGGATAATATTATATGCCACACTAACACTTAAATGTCTATTATTGATGATAAAAAATACTCGCACCCTCCTTTTGATGTGTGAAATTAGATAACTGACTAGCGAAAATGTTGTATTAAAAATCATCATGCATGTCCTATTCATCCTATTATTCGTGGATAATAATAATAAAAAAAAACAATAACATGAAAATATGTAATCAAAGTCGACAATGAGTCACTGATACTTAGTCGTTAATAATTGCTTAAAATATTATGTATTTAATTCTAAATCAATTTGATAGAATAGTATTATTCCTGTAATATCTAATATAAATATTAAACTTGCAAGCCAGGCGACAGCGTGTGATATGCGTGGTCGTGTGCTATGTCTTCAGAGTGTATCAAATGCAAACTGATGTGTATAGATGCTCAAATCACAAAACGAGAAAATAAAAATTGGAAAAAAAAATTAAAGATATATTTTGGTAAAAAAAAATCATCGATCGTAAAATTAAAAATAGTGATGTGCTGCGTGTATCTATTATAACTGATAATATACATGTCGTGATTACTATTAATTGGCAATGCCGGAGAATGTAAACATTTTCGTTTAAAAATTAAAATTGGATACTGAGTCAATATGGTGATTAATATAGGAATACGATAAATTCATTTTTTTCCATCATAATACAATAATAAAACATTTAAAAATCTTGTAATTTCCATTTTGGCCTTAGAGACATTATGTTCGATGGAAAACTCTCCCAGTAATACGCAATTGATCACTAATCAGAAATCTATACACATACTCATGGTGATGATTTCAATAACTAATCTATACTGGAAACTGGCCGTAATATTCATTCGATTAATTAAAATTATTTGTTCCTACATATTATTATAATAGTACAACGCGAATAAATGACTACGTCATAGTATAAAGTATTTATTTTAATCGCTCATCGGAAATATCGTTACTACCGTATTAATTTATACGCAGGGTAGTCGGTTGGGGGGGGGTGGGGTGGTTTTTTTTAGCTTCTCCCCCCCCCCCTCCCCCACGAGTTAGGGAAATCGAGTTCGATGATTTCACGGGACCACATTATTCAAGTTTAAAATACGCTTCTTTTATATTTCCAATCCGAGAACTGAGTATGGTTGATGATGTCGACGTTGTTAAAACGCACATTATTAACACGTCGTGTCATTATCGTTGTATACACACACGTATAATATATTAGTACATAATATATAGACGCAAGTACTTTATAGATAATAAACTGTTTGACCTGTTCGCGACAGACGAAATCAACAAAACGCGTTTGTCACGGTGTGTAGGTACATATACAACATTAAACGAGTGTGTTTTTCTCAACTCGAGTGTACACGGACACTTTGACAGTATATTATGTTATGATAGGTACACGCTTACGCATTATTAATATTATAAAAATTACGATACAACTCACAACTGTGCCTATATGTATTTATACAGTGTACCTATGCCATCGATTCTGTGTGGTTTATGTACGCTATACTTGCAGGCTACTAACTGCTGTCTTAAAATCGACGGTAACACAACACGGCGCTCTCTCCACGTTTTAATTTTCAGCTTGCATGCTGCAAGTTTCATAAAATCATTTATTATAACGACTGTCGCGTGCTGCACTGCTGCAATAATATAATTTGCATTTACGTCTGATTTTAATAAAAACGTATTGGAATAT